TGGCGGAGGGCGGGTTGGCGCCGCGCGTGAGGCTTTGCAGGAGTTAGTAGAGCCTCATAACTAAGCTCACGTGTGCGTTGTCTTGTTCAAGCAGAAGCTGCTAATAGACGGCTCAGGCTCTTCTTCCGAGGGGATGTTACTGCCAACGCAGGAAATGGCATCGGCAGTAGCTTTTACCTAGCGGGTTCCCATAGATATTAATAGCTGGTAAGACCTGCCACGCCAACGGAGGCAAATAGATGTAATGCAATTTTTTTTTTTTCCGGGAGCAACAAATATTTTCACAACATTTAGGGAGCTAACCTAGGGGAATGTGTTCAGTGGTCTTGTTAGTTTCTGAGAAGATTCTGAGGTTCCCTATGAAAAATAAGACCTGTTAAAGTTGTCACATTGAGCACCCAGGGCCTTATGTTGCTTTGAAGACCTTGACTTAGTGTATACTTGTAAAACTGTGCTTTGAGGATATCCTCTGGTTTTGTTTGTTTTTTCTAACAAGCTAGTTAGCTCTTTTTCTGAAAGATGAGCTGTGTGGCAGTGAGCTACTAGTAGTTACGTATTTGACAGTTCATTGGAACATAGTAAAAAAAGAGTATTTGCACATTGCAACTTGATTGTACTGGACATTGTAGTCTGATTTTTATCTTTAAAATATTGATGGAGCAGTGTTAAAACGATGTCAGAATTTAACTAAAAACTACTTGTATTTGTTTTTAGGTTGAACATCCTGATGTGCAATTTAATATCTTACTGGAGTGTGCTGGAGCTTGCACAACTGTATCTTGCCTGAAATCTCAAACTATGTCATGAAATTATCTTGTTAAGCAAAACCTTACTTGATGCCTATTAATAGAAGAGTATCAAATCACTTCATAAGAGTGCTTCACAAGGGACTATTTTGTTATTGTAGGTGTCTGTCTCACCAGCGTGTCATGGTAGATCTAGCAGAGAAAGAGAATATGGATAACCTCACATTTAAAAGTGACACTGTACTTTCTGATGTTCACTTACACTGTCCAAACAAAAGACATCTCATGGTACGACTCAATGCAGTTGGACAGCCAGGTAATGTATGCTTAGACTGATGGAACAATATTTTTAAGAGTGTACACCTTTTTGTAATTTCTGGACCTCCTTCAGATGGTTAATCGCTACATGTTTTGTTCCGGTTAGAAGCAGAATTGCTTCCTACTCAGTTGTTTCAAAGAGGGCTAACCAGATCTGCGTCATGAAATTAACCATGCAAATTAAAGTTATGAATGTAGACTTTGTAGACAGCTTATGCTAAAAAAAAAGAAATTCTTAAATTATTTTCTGGGAGGAAGTAACTAAGTTAACCTTTATGCAGGCTGAATTTAATTTTTTATGTTTTTTAGGCTCATGACAGTACTTTGGGAATCATGCCAAAAATTGGGATGTTTTCTTACATACAAACTAAAGGTGATAAACCAAAGGTTTTAAAGAGTTTACAAAAATTCTTAAGTTAATTGATGATCTCACTTCAATTCATAATACCCTGCCCTCAATTCATAATACCCTGCCCTATATTTAAAATAAGTGATATTATTTAAGTGATGATTTATTGTCTAGTCTGGGGGAAACAAAAAGCTTGTGTCAGAAAAGCAATGGTTCTTGAATGGGTGTTACATAATTTGAAGGGTCAAGGTTGTACTGGGAATAAATTGGCGCATACTTCTGACTGATTGCCTGCTTGTAGACTTCTGTCACACTGTCGAGGAAACTGACCTTGAAACTGCTAGGAAAATGTTCTATACAAAAGTACCCCTCCTTTTGCTGTGACAGAAGGGTTAACTGTTGTTTTTTCAAGCCCATTTGTGGCATACAAAAATTCAACTTTTGCAATTCTTCCAGCACATGTTGACATAAAAAAACATTTAAAAGAGAAAAGTAAGCCAAAGGGCTTGACAAAGAAGTTAATGATAGTTGGCCTTCATCAGGTCAAAGTCAGGTAATTAATGCAGTGGTATGTCAGCATGCTGCTTGGCATTCCTTTGCTGTGATTTTGTTTGTTGCAGAGAATATTTTGATGGAATGAACGTGTGCTATCTACTTGAACACGCTTAGTCTGAGAAATTCCTTTATTTCATAATACAAGAACTGTAGTGCCTTATATAGCAGCTTTTATTCTAGCAGATATGATAATCCTTCCATAGTCACTTTGCTGCTTTTTTTTTTTTTTTTTTTTTTTTAGGGAACCACATGTGGATTTTGCCTTTACTCTTTTTGGGGTCAATTTTACCTTAGAACTTTGAAATCTGGAGAATACCTGGAGGATCAGAATGGACTCTGGAGAGCGAAAACATTTCATTCGTTGATGGCATCCTCTAATTTATTGCATATTCAGAACAACTTAATCTGGATGTCATCCAAAATAGATGACTTATAAAATCTTCACTGCTCATCCTAGAATCCAAAATTTTACTTGATATAGCTGAAAATGGTCTCTCTAGAAAATGACTTATCTCAGGTTGCAGTAGATGAACCTTGATTATCTTGCTTTCTAAAGAAATCAAAATGTAACTTCATAAACAATGATGTTATCGTGAAGTGTTTCTGCTGCCTCATACCCTTGTGAGCTGCTTTCAAGGACTGAAGTTACTTGAATTTCCAAAGCTTTTTTAAATGGTTTAAAAAAAAAAAAAAAATTATAGCTACTTTTTGCTAGAACATCTCCTCTTTCTTTATGGCAGGAATTAAGTGTTAAACAAAAGAAAGAAACTCTTAACTCATGCTGTTAGTTCTTTTTTGAGAAATGATTTGGAGGATGTAAGAAACCATTGCTTATCCTAATTGTTAACATAAGTGTTACTAAATCAGATGAAAATGTGAGCTGTTGCTCAGGAGGTGCTGATTTAACCAGTAGACTTTGAAAGTGCTTCAACACTTACTTGTCCTGACAGAACTTAATAGCAGAAATATTCCTTCCTAGTTAATAAACAAGTTACCTATATGACTTCTGATTCTCCAGATTTTTAATATGTGAAATGCATATCAAAACCTCATGCATGTGGAATTTGCATATAGATTCTGGTTTTATCCCAGTGTTAATCTTTAATTTTTTTTTTCTTGCATTCTTGTAGTATTCCTGTCATATTTCAAGCTCCTTTGGAACACCGATAACTGGGCATCTGAGAAAAATGTGAGGGAAGCTACAACAGAAAAAGAACACCAGTGCAGAAGTGGAGAGGAGTTGTGTGACAAGGGCAGGAATAGTCTAAAAAATGAAAGAGAATTAAATACTAAAGGATTAGAAGCTCTGCTAGATGATGATGGAGACTTGGAAGTTGTCAGAAGACCTCAAAGTGCCTCTGATTTAGAAGTGGAGGATCTTCTGAGGGATAAGGTGTATCCTGTAATTCTAATGAGAGGGGAAGATGCTTTTGAAGATGAAGAACAAGAAAGCTCTTGCAGTGATGTTGTTAAAATAGGTAAGCAGTAGGCTTACCTTCGAGGATAAAGGGGATAAATATTTCTTTTGCAAAACAAAGGAAAAATAGATTTTTATATCTTTATAAATGAAACACAGCTGTTAAATGAGAGGTGGTAATAATTTCAGTGTTATGCATAATTTAAAAATATACTATTTCCCTCCAGAAGAGGTTTGGACAATAGTATACCAGAGAGACATGTAGTTGAGTGCTCCCAACCTGAATGAGTTAGACCTGCTATCTGCCTTAGTGGCATTTTTAGCTTTGTTGTATTGAATGAAGAGCATTTAGTTCTAGATCTAAAACGGAAACACTACTTGTTTGGTTCCTCCCCCCCCGCCCCCCAACTTGCTGCTATTGAACTTAATTTGAACAACACTTTTAAAATACTTATTTCTGCTCTACTTTCATGTTCACAGAGCATACTATGGCAACCCCCTTGGAAGATGTTGGTAAACAAGTATGTGTCGTTTTTGTAATATCTTGCTGTTCATGGATTGTGCTTCAGAATTTACTCAGTTTATCTGCTTCTTTCTCTTGAAGGTCTGGCGAGGTGCTTTTCTTCTTGCTGATTACATTTTGTTTAAACGGGACGTGTTCAGAAGTTGCACAGTACTAGAGCTTGGAGGTGGCACTGGAGTTGCAAGCATCATCATGGGAATGGTTGCCAAGAGAGTTTACTGCACAGGTAAGGCAGTTATTTTTTTAATTAAACGTTATAATGAAGCTTCATTTAGAAGTTCATGTGAAACTTTTGTGAAGCATTGCTTTCTTATTGGGGTTTTCATCCACACTTGTTTGTTTTTGGTTAATGGTTGGTTGTTTGTTTTTGGTTAATGGTTGGTTGTTTGTTTTTGGTTAATGGTTGGTTGTTTGTTTTTGGTTAATGGTTGGTTGTTTGTTTTTGGTTAATGGTTGGTTGTTAATGTGTGTCAGGTGTGTTTAGAGGAAAGTGGCAAGAATTTTCTCAATAGATCTGAAAGAGCAGTACTACTTTTAGGTGCAAGAGTTTGGGCAAGCTGTTTGTTTGTCCTTGTTTTTCACATTGCTGTGAATTCAGGATGGTGTGCTTAGAATAAAATAGGTGATTTGGGGATTTAATGGCTTTTTCTTTAAGCATGACTCGGAGCTTAGTACTGAAAAACGAAGGCAAGAAGGATCTAGGGAAACTGTAGTCGGTAGAGAGAGTTGCTCTGAATTGTCCCTACTTTCCTAAACTTGAGAGAAGTTTAGAGAATTAGCCTGAAAGGTCAGGGGCATATATAGCACAAATATTCTCATCGTAAATAGCATTATCACTTTTTCCAGATGTTGGTGAAGATCTTCTGGCCATGTGTGAACATAACGTTGCATTAAACAAACACCTGATTGAGCAGGGAAGTAAGTGCAATACAGTCGGTTTTTGTGCGTTTGCCTATATGTGAACTACTTTGGCGTTAAACAGCACAAGTCATTGACTATCTTACATGTTTACAAATAAAATTTAACTCTTGTCTTGACTGAAAGTTTTATTTCATCTTGCTCTTTTTGAATCACTGTCTGTTGTCCGTACTGGGACAACTGCCTTTTGAGAAGAGGTAAATACTTGTTTTTTGCCTGGTCAGCAGTTAAGACCAGCATGGTTCTTATGCAGTTATTGTGAGTTTCACTGGGTTATTTGGGAGGATCATAGACACCTGGGCACCAAGAGACCAGTTACATAAATGGACTATAAATGACAGAGGTAGAACTCTGTAATGGGGAAGTATCTTGCAGATGGGGCATGTAAAAGAATGTAAGATGTGTGTCTGCCCCTTTAAGTTTGTCCTACCCTCCCCTTGTGAGTGGGTGACTGGTTTGGTACAATAAACAATTTAATGTTTAGCCAGGCCTGACATGTTTCGTATATCTTCATAATATATCTTAATCATTTGTTCCACTACAGAGCTTGACTCCTTACTTCCACTTATGTATCTCCCCCCACCACCCTTTTTCCACAGGAGGTGAAATTAAAGTGAAAGAACTGGATTGGCTGAAAGATGAGTTCTGTACTGGTAAGCGGTTGTAATTGGGTCCATTGAAATGTTGTGTGTGGTTTTTTTTTTCTTTTTTTTCTCCAAAGCTATCAAGAAAAGCTTACTCCATTGTTTATGAAATGAATGAGTCTTCCAGTGCTCGCCACTCTAGAAAGATAGGTTTTAAACACTATATAAATGCTCAAAGATTGTTTCTAGGTGCTTTATTGTCGTATGAACGAGTGAGGAAGGGTTCATTGATTGGTTGAGGACAGACCAACAGTAGTTGTCCTTTACTTTGTGAGGTCAAAATCCAGAGGTGCAGACAAGCCCTGTCTGTTATATAGTAATAATGGAATACGGGTGCAATGGTATGCATTTGTGTTACTGCAATCCAGATTTTGATGTGATAGTGCTGAGTGCAGACTATGACTGCATGAAAGGCGATGAGAAGGGATCCGGGAGAGGTGATGGGTGGATGGGACTCCTAACAATTGTAGAATTTCAGGTGGGTGGAGCAGTTAGAGAAGCGTTGTGGTAGGGTAGGTGGTGATTTGAAGTTGTATAAATGTTCACTGCAAAAGTGCTGATGAATATGGTATATTTTAGTTATTTGGCAAAGGAATGTAGTTTGCTGCGTTTAATAAAAGAAAGACAGCTAAATTAAATTATTTAAAAGTGCAATTAATGATAGTAAAATGGATCACTAAAACTCTTTCTAGTAGATAAAAATATAGGCCTTTGGGGGATAAAAAATTAGGATCAATACCAAATTGAAACACTTGGCCATATGAAGCCAACTCTGCTCTGTAGGTTTTTGTATGATCAGTTGGGCAACAATAACTTTGATATTATGCCTTCTGAAAAATAGCGGCACTATTTAAGCAGATAGAATCATCCTTTACACTTTCAAAAAACTTTTCTTTAGACCTTAGAAATTTCTATTTAATGAAAACAGTTGATACTACATGTAGAACAGGGTATGTTCTTAAACTTTCAGAGAAAGCTTCTAAATTTTAACGAAGTCTAAAATTTAAAAGACATGATTAAGTAGGAAACTTGATCAAAACTTACACGATGATGCTTTTTTTTCCCTTTAATTTAAAGCAGTATTTATCTTAGTCTAGTTAAAGTCTGTAATCTTGCCACTTGGTAGTAGCTGTATATAGGTAGTAGCTGTGTATCAAGGAAAACTCTGTACTCTTACCAGTCAGCCTTGGGAGAATGGGATGTAAGGCAGAGAAAGCGAAGGACGGCAGAGAATGAATAGACCAAGGCTTTGATTTATCTTTAGTAGGGTGCTCCATTTATGGAGAAGCAGATGACCAAGGAGAGAACGAAGATGTATTTTTTTCCATCTGTCAGGTATTTGATATGGTTAATTCTGTGAATAAAGCTGTTTTTCTTTGTTGCAGATCCTGAAACTCCTTATAGCTGGTCTGAAGCAGAGGTTGCTAATTTGCATGACCACTGTACTGTGATAATGGCAGCTGATGGTAAGAAAACACAAACAGTAAGCTCTTAAACCAAACGTTTAAGCATCACGTGTAGTAACTTAAACATACCTATTTTACTTTTAAAATCCAATAGATAGATCATTAACTAATTTGTCAAACCTCTGACTTGTGTTTCTGTCTGTATCTGGTAGTTTTTCTTTTTAAAAAAGTTTGCTAATTCAGATTGTAAATTTGAATAGGAGAGAAGATGTTGAAAAGACTAGCCTGTTCTTTCACTTGATATTTAATGATTTGTAACTAAAATTATTCAAATTTAATTGTTTCAAGTAAGTGTATCCTACATGTGCAAAAACAATTGTCAGGTGCTGTGGTTGCCCATAGAGTGTATCCATTTGGATATATGTGGCTTTCTGTTCTTTTTCTTGCCTAAGCAAAAGACTGAGAAATGACAAGCTAGCTATGTGTAGGAAAATCGTCATGATTTTAATATTCAACGGTATTTAAGTGGAGGAGGAGTGTTTTCTGTTTGTTTTTTAGTTATGGTATTGAAAGATGTTGCAAGACTTTTCCAAAAAGTTATAAGGTGCAGGTGGTATTACTTACTGCCTTTTTGTAAGAAATGAGGCCCTATGGATTGTGATATCCTGTCTCCTTCAGCTTTGAAGTAAGGTATTTCCAGGCTGAGAGAGATCTTGTTTAAATTGTGTAAGTTAAGAAGTGTAAGACAGAAGTGATTCCCATTGGCATGAGAGATCTTAAAGAAGGCTTGACGTAAAGAGCAGCAGTGGATACTATTACAGGGTCAGTTGTTGCCATTAAAAATATAATACTTTGAGATTTAACTAATACAGTGACACAAAGTTTTAGATTAAAATAGTCTAATTAAGGGCTGTTATTATTTCATACCTGAGGTTTAAGTAAATACTGTAGTTGAATGTTCATACTGTATGCTTTTAATCTCTTTATTGTAGTCTTCTATGATGATGACCTGACGGATGCCATGTTCAGAACGCTGTATAGAATCACACACAACTTGAAAAATTCTTGCACAGTGTACTTTTCAATAGAAAAGCGGTAAGTATTACCAAGAATCTAAAATAAGAAGCACTAAAAATTCTACATTATTTTCTTCATAAGAAAAATCTGATTTGTTTGCAGGGCAAAGTCTTTTTTTTTCTTTTTTTTTCTTCTTTTCTTTTTTTTTTCTTTTCTTTTTTTCTCCGCTGTATCTATTCAGGGCAAATTATTTTTTCATACTTGCTTGATTTTTTTTGAATTCAGAATTTGAATTTCAGGCAAGTTAAGTTTTTCTGTTGTCCTACCTTGGTCTATAACCACCAATTTATCTATTTGATGCAAGACAAATGTCTTCTGTAATGCCACCAAAATTTGCTGTGTGTTTGAGATCAGACAAAATTGTGCAGTGTATCTAAAAATGAGGAAATGTCTCCCAACTTGACTCTTGCCATAACAATTCGTCTTGTGTTCTCTTTCAAGAAATTGTTGTATGTTTTTGAGTAGTCATATGTTGTAGTCCATTCACAAACAAATACATTAATAGTCCATGCTTAAATCTCTGGAAATGTGTAAGCAATAGCCCTTCCTATTATTCTTTTGGGGCAAAAGGCCCTAAAATCAGCGGAAAGACTAAAAAGACTTACCAAAGAGGTATTGGTGTACTGATTCTAGTGTGTAATTCTAGTGTGCAAGTCTTGATAGTCCAAAAAAAAAAATTAACTAATAAAATTGAGCAATCTCACACTTTCCATTTGCTTAGGAAAGTTACATAGCTATTTAAGATGCAAGTGTAGGAGAGAATTTTTCGATGAAATATTTTCTTGCCAGGCTGAACTTCACTTTAAGACATATGGACGTTACATGTGAGGCCTACAATCATTTTAGAAATATTCTGAATGATCTGGAGAGCCTCCAGGATAGAAAAATGAAGTATACTGTGGAGCCCATTAAACTCGATTTCTGCCAGTTTCTCATTTATGAACGAACTGAGCAGTTGGTAAGTGGCATTCATTAAGATACATGTAACGTGTTGGGTTAATCATCTCAGATTAGTTTTCGGCTATTTACTTTAACGTGAAATAAGAATAGAATAGTAAGCATTACCTCTTTATTTCTGTTAAGCTGCTTTAAAATGATTTTGTGTTCATGCTTACATAACCTATACTAGATTTTCATAGCATGTCCTCTTCTGTCACTGAGCAATATAATGGCTTGGATTGTTTCTTAACATTTGAAGAAATGAGTGCAATCTTCATTACTCTGGAAAATACTGTTTTTGAGATTGACTGGAAAATGGGACCAATATCTCCTTTATTTGCTTGTGAAGGAGCTCTCATTTTATGTTTTAGTAGCTCCTTTACGAGTTCAGGGTTAAGGAAATAATGCTTCAATATCTGTAGACAAGTCAATTAGCTTTAAACTTGCATTATTCAGAAATGTGTCAAATACCATATATGTAGCTATCTAATAACGCTCAAGGCTTTCTTTTTATTTTTTTTTTCCAACTATCTGATCTTAACAATATCATGCAAGCTACCTAATAGCATGCTAGGCTTCTGCAGCAATACAGACCAACTGATCTTTCTGGAGAACTTGCAAATCTTTTGCTGGATTGCAAATCTATTACCAAGAACTGAGGTGTATGTAGGCAACATAGTTTTGCGCCCCCTCCCCCCCCC